CTTGAAATTTTGTCTCTAATCATCGAAAGCTTATGTTTGTCGAAGCCGATCACCTCCCTTGCCTTCTTGATGTTGAGCGATGTCACTCTCGATGAGCTGCATCTCTGTAGTGTACAAAAATGGTCGGTCACACTACACCTACGGCAGGCTGGAACAAGCCGCCGAAACCAAAAGCAGAAGCATCTAAAGCCAAAAGCTTGACTAAGAAAGGTGCCATGGAGACGCTGGAGCTGATAACGACGACTTGAAGGACACAGACAGTGGGGAAGACAGGGATTTGGTGAGTTAGATGGATTTGGCAGTCACGCTGATGTGACTGTATCGAGGAGTGGTTTCGTGCTGATAAGAGCTTTCCCGACTGATTTCCTCCATCGCCCACATTGCCCGCCCTCGATAAACACTCTTGGTGTCAAAGATTCATGAAGAGACCTGCATGTACACTTTCATATCTTTTTCTTTTTCTTTTGCTATGTAAAATAGTTTCTCCGAGACGCATCTTCATTTGGTTGTATCAAGGACCGGTGAAACACTGTACTACTCTAGAATAACGACCAAGTAGTAGGGGTTACTGTTTATTCATTTTAATTATACAGAGTACAAAATCTTCGTCGACGGATAATCACGAAAACAGATTCTCATATCGTTTTAGACATGAATTCGGAGCATAGTCTATTCAGATACGGCACCTGCCGTCTACTTCTACAAAACTCATCAAAACTATCATTTGGGTCACAGGAACACCGGCCTTCTTCCCAATCTTTCCCTGATGGACAGTGCTGGAAAGGATCGTGACGATACCCTATATCCCGGAAGAAGTGAACCTGATCTTTTCGGGCGAAAAGAGATGCCGCAATGCTGTGAACTGGCGCGTCACCCCAGCGCTGTGTTAAAAGAATCAATCAACAGTTATGATCTAACCGAACACTCCTAGAAAACCTCGTAATAAAAGCCGCCTTATTCTAGATAATCGAAAAATGCATGGTACGCCTCACCGCGCCAAAAATACATATCCGCAATTTCAAAATTACTCCAATCTACGTTTAACAGTCAGTTTGATATCAGTAATTTTTGAGTCTCAAAGTCACTTACAATGGCATAAGTTGTAGCTTTCGCTATCGTTATCCGATAAAAGTTCATCGAGTTGTTCGGGGTGATATATTGGGGGTACTCTCTCATGAAATCTGAAGAAGTTCTTCCTATGTGGAGGCATTAAGAAAACGAAGAATGTTACCTTTGACTGTAGACCAGAGTGTAGGTATGGTTGCTTCCCATTCAACAAGAGAAATGGTAAATCCTAGCGACGAGAAACGCCGATGAAAAAGGGTCGTTTTGACCCAGTATTTGAAGAACATACCATAAATTTTATCATTATCCTTCATATAGAGGAATGGGTCATATGTAACATCACAAAAAAACTTGACATCAGGCCTGAAAATAATCGATACATACAAAAGCTCAGAGGAATTTGTAGTAACCCACTCGACTCTATTTAGGAAGAAATACAGGAATTATTAGCCAGGGGCCACTATTTAAGCCCAATTGTTAACTGACCTCCAATAATACCGATACGGTTTAAGCAATTCGTGATGAAAGAAGAACTTGGGCGCTGTGAGATGTTGTTTAAATTTGAGAGCTGCAAGACTCACTCCAGAATTGAAGCGGCACATATTGCGATATTTTGGCCCAAGGTAAGGCTTGTATCTCAAAAAAAAAAAAAAAAAAAAAAAAAAAAAACTGGGAATCAACCCAAAGGATATTGGCGCCTTTGTAAGTAAAGATACGCGTCTGCTGGTCCGATTAGCGTGTCTGATATCAATTGACAAGGTGATGGAAATATAAACTTCTTGAACGTCTCTGTAAAGGGCTCCTCGTTGAGAAGGACCCAGGGGATAATTGTAATGCCGATTGAACCTGTCCTTCATTTACTGTATACTTGAGATGACACCCGCTAGATCGCTGTTTCTGCAAAGAAGGACGAAGGTGCCATTTGCTCGGGTTGGGGAGAAGCTGACGCTGACGCTGTCTTTTGTTGTTCCGTGTAACCTCACGTTGCCTGTACCCATTGCTACTACGGCGGTCTCATTGTGAGAGGCACATTGAGACTGGGTTGGAGTGCGGAGATTTTGCGATAATCGTGAAGAAAACCTGCCATAATCTTCAGAGGCGAGGCCAAGGATATAATGCAGAGACAACTGGTGGGCCTCTAGCATCAGTCACGAGAAGTCCAGAGCCAAACAAGAACTTACGACAATGACTAGAAGGACTACAATATAGCGTCTTGGTGTCAACATGAGGCGTTGTTGTGTATCTGCCTCCTGCTGGTATAAACGAGGTTCTTGCCACGAGTGGGAGTGGATTTTTATACTAATACACACATCCACAGTTGTGAATAAATACATACGCAGGTTTGAAGAGCGAATCTCGGAGCCGAAGATACATCAAGTGGACCGCAGTTAACCATGATGATGTTGATATCGGTGCACATCAAGCGGCCACCTAAAGATAGACCCCAGACTGCGGTGGTGCCGTCGCCTTATAGTATTACCGTAGAGGTGCACTCAGGCTGCGCGATGATAAATGCACATAGGAGATCGAGGGTCGCAATCTGTATCAAGTTTTTCGTAGATTCCTCGTTGTCTGCAAACTTGTGGAGGGGGCGCCGCTTAGTATAATCAGCATGTTTGCTCTGAGCATGTTGGGGTGACAAGAGGTTTTTGGTAGGCCGATGCGAAGGAACTGATGAATCGCTTTCATATTTGAGGGTTAAACATTCGAGATTACGTCTCCCAGGACCTACCCGGGTTCTGAGCAAGTAGAATATAGGCGTATCAGGAGAGTAGGCCTCAGTGGGGTCGGGCCGGCTGAGTATCGCCACTGCTCGTGCAACTCGTGACGCGACAATAGTTGCGTATGTTTGGCGTGATTTTTTCATTGTGTTCGCGAAACGGAGTGACACGAGCTTGTTCAAGGACTTGGTTAACCCGTCATGGCTTCGACGTCAAATTCTGACTTGGGTGGGGCTGCGGAGCTATTCACCCCCCAGCCCACTATCCCCTCAAAGTCATCGTACTTCAACCCCATTTCTCCTTTCACTGACGTGTACGAACGTTTCAACCAATGGCGAACGGACCTGGGGCTTCCGCACCCTGGAACAGTTGAAAACTTGCAGAAGGAGGTTAAGGGTAAGTTATAACACTGTAACCATTCAATTAAAGTTCTCACTCTACTCTACTTGCAGCCACTCACTTGACGAACTACATATTTGACGGCGCTCGTGCGGACCTCACCAAGAGCTTGTCCGCCAATCCTTTGTTCCAAGTGACACACTCGTTTGCATTGGGCTCGCAGACCATTCCTTCCTCGTACAACTTTGGTGCTATATTCGCCAACCAGCAGGTGCGCTATGCTCGTTAGCTGTTACTCCGTGTGTGTCTGACCTCACACGGCCTAGATTTTCCTGCAGGGTGGCGTGGACCACGAGGGCAATGTGAATGCCCGCCTTAACCAAGGTTGGACGCCCACCAATATCACGAAAGTGCAGGCCCAGGTGCGCGGACTTTCGTTCATCACGCGTGTATCTATGAAATGACGTGTCCTCCTCAAAGTTTTCCTCACAGGCGACTCAAAATATGATTCAACTCGAGCATGACTACCAGGGTCAGGACTTCAGCGTCAACGCAAAGGCCATCAACCCCTGGCCTGCAGACCTGACTGGTATCTATGTGGGTAGCTACCTGCAATCTTTCACCAAAAACATTGCGCTTGGCGTGGAAAGCATCCTCCAGAGGCCGTCACCAGATATTATGGAACTCTCGACCTCCTACCTCGCAAAATTCACCAGTAACAGCAAGAACTGGATCGCCACAGCTCAGTTTCAGACTATTGGCGGTATTCAGGCCACATACTGGCAGAAGCTCAGCGAGAAGGTTGAGGTGGCCGCAGACCTTCAGCTCATCGCGACCCCTTCACGAAGGGATGCAGTAGCGACTCTTGGCGCTAAATACGACCTACGTCTCGCGACTTTCCGCGCGCAGGTCGACTCTACAGGAAAAGTTTCAGCACTGCTGGAACAACGCTTCACCCCCGCCTTTGCATTCTTGGTGTCAGGTGAAATAGACCACTTCAAGGTGCGTTTCCATGTTTGGACAGACTGGTTTTCATACTGACTCGGAGACTAAGAACGCCGCCAAGGTCGGTGTCGGTGTGATGATTGAGAGCACGAGCTTAACACCCGAGGAGATGGGTATGCCCCCTCAGATATAATATAATACATACGCCCTACATTACTCATACACTAGATTCCCATATTACGGCCCTCTCGAGTCCTCCTTTCTTTAGAGCGTGACTTCAAGGTTTATAATTACTAAAAAAAAATGGGAATATGTACAAATCTAGCATAGTTTTTTGCTGCGTGTTAACTGAATGGTGTGGGTGCAGAGATGAGATATATCGTTATCGCCAGACAGTGCGGACAACTGTCGATTGTTGGGGAAAATACGATACCGAGCGCCGTTATCGAAGTGGGCTGAAGAGTATGTCACATCAACACATATATTTCTTGGACAACTAAATAGTAACAGATACGCCGCTGTGTCAAGCCCGTATAGCTCAGTTGGTAGAGCATTGTACTTATGAGGTTAACCTAAACACCCTATGCAGTTGTCTGGAGTTCGAGCCTCCATATGGGCAGCTATTTTTAGATGGGGACACAATTCAATGGTAAGGTATGTTCTACATTCATCTATCCCCATTTAATATTTCCCGTGGTGTTATGTCCTAGTGTAGATTCTTCAGGAATGCTAGTATTCATTCGGATCGTCCCCCTTCAAGGCTTGTGGCGTCTCTTTCAATAACAGATTTTTCGCACTCGAAAGTGTGGCGTAATCCCAAATCGGGACGTGACTGCTTGTGTTCGCAAAGGTGTTACGTCGCAACTGTCCTGACGCCCTGCAGCACTCTAACATACACACCTTTATTCATGAGTCACTTGACGCAAATTTTACAATCATCCACACAAGATAAGCAGTGTGAAGAGCCTAGGACAAACCGACTTTTTGCGGTCTAAACATTTACAGCGCTTTTCCATCATAACGAGATTGGTCGAAATTGCGAAAAGACCGTGCCATGGCGTATTGCCCGAAATAGGAACGCTGCCCGGACTGCCCGAACGTGGTTCGCCCGTCGCTCGACACTCTACCTGACCTCTGTACAAGGCAGACAACATCATCAAAGCCCAATCCATTTTCGGTAATACGTCATCACGTCGTCACTTTTTTCCCCAACGAATCTCATTATTTTTGGAAAGCGCTGTAACAGTGGCTACACATGCAGACATGAGCCCCACTGGCAAAACCATTTGATTTTTATACGCTCTTTCCTAGGCTAATGCTAGTAGCATTTAGTCGTAGATGAAGCTGGTCTGTGGACGGTGACACGCTTGGTTTACAGGCATGGGATTTCGGTATGCTGATAAGCAGTACGTGCACCATTCCCTAACATCTTCCAGCAATTTAAGAATAGTGGCCCGCCGGGTTCTTAGCCAGGGTGGATTCGCTATGGCACAAGGCAAGGACTCTATGATCATACGAACACATTTACCAAAGGAATCTGATTCTTCAAGAATCCATGGATCACCAAGTCCAACTGGCATATGCGATCGTTAAAATACACCCAAGAAATAAAGGTACTAATTACAACATAGAGTAGAGATATCATGTAGTTTACGTACAACGGGAAAGTGCACCACTCTATGTAGATGCGGGTGGTTGTACAGGCATGGCGCCAGGTGCCTGGGCAGAAGTCTGGGCATGTAGCCGGCCCATAAGGTCCATCCTCTGGGAAACTGTCTCAACCATGTGTAGCGTCAGGGAGAGCTTGCCCCAGAGGGCCTTGTACATCTCCTCGTTCTGCTGGCGAAGCAACTGCTGTACGAGATCGCGTAGCTGCTCAACGAGAGGCCGGATGTTCTCGCGCACCATGTCGACCAGCGGCTCCTCGAGCAGATGCACAAGCTGTTCGTGTGTGAGATTTGGTTGAGGTACGGCTGGTGGGCTGTTCATGTACGCATCGATTCCTGCCTCGAGCGCCTCAATGCGTTTCTGGTTTTTTGGATGTGCCTCTAGAAGGTCCTTGAACTGCTCGCGCATCTGCAAGTCACCGAGTCAGCATGATGCAGCGGAAGTATCAAATAAGTAAACCTGCGCCATCTCCGCGTGCGATTGGTCAATGCGCAGCTTAAGGCCTGAGATCTCCTTGTTCTGGGCGTCGACGCTGAGAAAGAGTTCTCCGACAGTCTTCGCGAGCTCCTCAACCTGGGACCCCGTGAGGTCTATGTTCTCGCGGACCTCCTTGTATGCATCCTGCGGGGCGGCGGGTGGCAGAGACGCTATATACTCTTTCATCTCCTCGACACGGGTCTCGAGGCGCTCCTCCATATCCTCCCGCTGTTCGTGCGCGTGTGCGAACATATCGTTTTGGAACGTGGCATAGTGGCCCTCGAGCTCTGCAAGTTTGTCCCTGACCTCCTCGAGCTCGACCTGTGTGGGCCCGTGCTGGGTGTCGACGCGGTTCCCGGCAAGGCGGCGGCGCTTGAGTGGGCGGGCCTGCGCCTGGGGATCGGGATCGACGTCCATGGGTGTCGAGTCGCCCGTGGCGCTGGGGTCGTCTTGTTCGCGGAGCTCGGTGAAGAGCGAGTTGATCTCGGCGGCGGTGGCCTGGAGCTCGGCGACGTGTTTGAGCATGTCGTGGAGCTTTTCATTCTCTTGTTGTTCGGCGCCTGTGATAGGAGCGGCAGGCCAGCTGCGGGTATTGATAAGGACGGCGATGGCATCGTCGCGTCGTTTGCGGATGTCGTCGCGTTTGGTCACGAGGGCGGCACGTTCTCCCTCGATGCGTCGCTTGTCCTCGTCAGGGAAAGCCTCGAAGCCATTGGTGTGGATGAGGCGTTCGATTGATGCGACGTCGGCTTCAATGTTTGAGACCTGTTGGCGGGCAGTAACACAATCTGCGAGGAGCCTAGCAGAAGGAGGTGTTAGCGAGTGGTAGTGGAGATGCAGGGAGAGGCCAACTTGATTCTTTCGGCCCAGATGGACTTGAGCTCCTCGGGAGACGACTCGGGTTGAGGGTCTGGTTTTCTGGACAGGAAGGAGGGCGGGGCAGGGAGGGGGGGCAGGGAGGGCGTTGGTGGCGGTGGTTGCATCGCAGGAGATGGGGGTGGCGGAGAGGCAGCGGTGGATGCGGTGGGTGGTGGAGGGAGAGTGGAGGCGGAGGCGGGAGGAGGACGGGTGGATAAGGCGGACGAGGGCGGTGGGAGGCTGTAATCGGATGCACGGCGGCGCGGGGAAGGCGAGCGTCTGCGATAGCGGGCAGGAGTGCGGTCGAAAAAGGTCGGAATGTCGGCGTCGTGCCAGTCAGGATCTGTTGGATGGACGAATCTGCAGTCGCGGCCCATGAAACAGCCGCCTTCCTTGCGGGGCTGGCCGTCCTCGAGGTACGACTGCCGTCGCCTGACTAAGTCTCACTCGTTTATGCTTTAGATTGCAGAGGACGTACATAGCACCGCTTTGACTTCATTGAAGGCTTTCAAAATAGTGGCTGTGTTGTTATCAAATCTATTTTAATTTACTCCCATACGTTGACTATCTCCGATTCGTGCGTCATGACGGCTACATCCCTCCTCACTGGATTCACCCGCGGGTATACAAACCCCTCGTTGTACTCGCTCATCACCTCTGCTGCTATAATCTCCCTGTCCTTCACCAGTGTCTCGTACCAGTAGCTCATCGCGTGCAACTGTCCTCGCCGTCAGCATCAATGCAGACCATTCAACAGCCATCTTACCTGAACGCTTACTACACCCATCACTACCACCATCCCAATCCAGTTCGACGATCCAGTCCCCATCCACAGAAACGCGTGCCCGGGCGAGTACACCGTAAACAGCACCATTTCAAAATGCCCCGGCGCCCACACGTCCAGCTGCTGCACCCGCGACATCCGCCCCGTCGCCTGCCCAGGCCGTGTCGGCGGCTTCAGGTTCAGCAGCCACCTCCACGAATAACTAAACGCGTATCCCGTCTGCGTCCGCATCCGCGCAGCCAAGCTCGGTGTCTCCAGCGGTTCAAAGTCCAGCTCCGCAGAAACGAACCGCGCGTTCGGAGACGACACAGGATCGCTGCGCTGATGCAGCCGGTAAACCCTGATACGCGTGAACAAGTACACAGCATTCAGCAGCGCAGCCCCTATGAGCAGAATTGAAAACGGAAGGGTCTGCGGCCAATCAGCCTCGCGTCGCGTACAAGACACAAGGTACACACCCAGTCGAACCACGAGGTACCCTCGCCTTCCCGGTACATGTCCTCCCATCCTACATCAGAGTCGGGCACTTTACGTATTTGGCTCACCCGCACGCACAGGTGCAGTAGGTGCAGCCCACCCCCCACTAGACGCCCGGACGTTTTCGGCGACGGCAGTGGCACGTTGTTTGGGAAAAGGGCAATTTCAAAGGCAATTGTGGATGGGATGGACGTGATCCTGCGATGTCGAGCGTTGGTCGTGGTCAAAGAGGCGCGCAACCATCATGGTGCTTACCTCTCAATGATGCCCTTCTTGCGCACGACTCGTTTCGCTGGAGTGCTCGTGCTCTTCCGTGTCTTGTTTTGGAGTGGCATTCCATAGGGAGGGGGCTTCCGGGAGCGAGCCGCGTTCCAGTCGAAAGGGATAGATGAGGAAATAGAAGGCGTCGAAGCCGGAGACCGATAGACGCCCATTGAAACTCGGTTGCGCGGAGTCGAGGGCATTGTGCTCGGCGATCCACTAGTGGCACTGGGCGACGCCGTCGCAGCATTGTTTGTCTGGGCAAGTCGGCGAAGAGACATGGCAAATATTGTGGCAGGGACACAATGACGGTCGAGTTTTGAATTTGGACAGGTAGCACGTGATGACAATTGTGACACGTGGGGCGTGGCACGTGGTGGTTGATAAAAAAGAGTGCCATCGAAAGTTGAGAACCCCATCTGCTTCCTTGCCTTGTCCTCCACTCCCACCTCTCCACTGCGCCACCTCTTTTACAACGTCCCCAGCCTCCCGCTGCCACGATAACTTCCAAAACGTCTATTCTACGTCCGCCCCCAACTGCCACGTCCTTGTCGCCTAGTTCTTCAATTAGCGGTTTGTTTTTTCTTTTCCGCTTTGCGCGTATCTAAACGGCCATCTCATCAGTCAGTAAAGTCAGGATGGCCCAACCCTCATCTTCTCATCATGGTGAACGTCACCATCGAAGCGACCGTGAGCGTGAACGCGAACGCGAATCACGCTCATCCCACCACCACCACCGCACTATTTCTTCTACCACCCTTCTCCTAGTCCTCGCCCTTGTTCTCGCCGTCCTAGCAGTCATGCTATCCCTGCCGTCTGGTCACGCCGCAGGTGGTGGAGACGCCGCCTCGGCGGGTGTCCTGGGGTACCTCACTCCCAAACGCACGCAGGCTCTCATCGCCCGCGAGAGCGCCGTTGCCGTCCGCGAAGCCGAAGTCGCGCGCCGAGAAGCTGAGCTCCTGGTCGGTGCACCAGGCGGTGTACTTCCTACGGCCTCTGCGGCCGTTTGCCCTCCCTGCGCGATGGCGACGACTGTCGAAACCGTCCACGCCCCGGCACAGACCATCATCAAGGAGATCGTAAAAGAGGACTCC